CTTGGTGTCATCTGTAAACTTAATGATACAACCATGCAAACAACAAGCAAACGTCAGCACCCCATCAGCACTGCAGAAAATCGAAGGGATTATCTTTGCTACTATTTGCTTATATTGCAGGAGGACTGGGCTGAAATAGGAATCCCTTTGCGCAAAACAGAGAACAGCTATGTGGCCAGAAACGACCTTGCTCTTTACAAGTGTACAGTGTTAATAAAAGGGAGAGAAGAGGATTGAAGCATACTATAACCTAATTTTCCCAAGGTCATGCCCTAGGTGAGCAGTGGAGCTGAAGAAAGCTCTCTGGCTGCAATCTAGCCCACTCATTTGCTTTCATCATCATTCTGGATTATTTTTAGGTCTTCATGTAGAAGAGAATGCAGATGGTTTTGGGGTCAAAAGAATGATAATTATGTCACCAAGGAACTTTATTCAGTCATTGTTTCTTGTCCACGACTAATGTTTTAAAGAAAATTTCAATTCTTGATGATTTCTTAAAATATCTTTTTGCTTCTTTGTCAGTAGTCCCAGGGTAATGAACAAATTCGTCCATGCTGAAGAAATCATAATCTTTTTATCCTTGTAGTTGTCCTAACAGTAATGCATAAATAGTAACAGTAATCGCCAGCTTTAGCTGGAAATTAAATAAAGCTTTCTTTTAATTATTCCATACTTCTGAATTAACTTCATATGTATTGTTAATAGTCATCTTAATTAATTAAGTAGTGTTTCAATTTGAGATATAAATTCAGAGGTTTCTTTTTGTAATTTACTGTTTTGGCATTATCCATTAAGTAGTCCATTGGTGTTATCTGACCACGCATCTTTGTTAAGCTAAAATAATGATCAAATTAAAATAATGTGAGAAAAAAAATATATTTAATTCACTCAAAAAAAACTTGTCTCTGTACTCATACAGCTGTTAAAAAAGCCTATGTGTATTAAATATACCCTTCCTTAAGTTTTATTACCCAAGCAGTTAGGCTGGTGGGTTTGCGATAAAATGCCAAATTCCAGGCATCTAATTCTTTACTGTTGCATTTCACTGCTCAGGCTGCAGCTATTACTGACATGTTTGTTTTAAGAATGACTGAACAGCATAGATTTCATAGATAAAACTGGTCATTATTTTCTAAATAGATATAACTCTTTTCTGTACAGCTAAAAGAAAAATGCCTGGTTGAAGCAATAATCTAAGCAGGTTATTGTCAATAACAGCTTATTTGTTCAGCTGGAAGTTCCCATTAACTACATGATCTTTGAAAAATTAGCTGTATGAAGTAGATTTTTATGGAAATAAAGCATGGTACTTTCTGTCTTTTCTCTGATTGAGAGATAAAAATTTTATTATAAATGAAAGCAATGATTTGTCTGTTTATGCAATGTGTCAGAGGATAGGAAAAGTAGGAAAAGGGCAAAACTGTCTTTTTTTTTCTTCCCCCAACATCTATTTATTTTGCCATCCTTTTCCTGAATGACATCGGCATGTATTATTGACTTTGTTCCAAAGTTTGTCTCTTCGGGTGTTTATCTAGGAATTTCACAGATCACTGAACAGAAGTTATATATGTACAAAGGACTATTGCTTTCTTACTTTATGTTTCTATAGCCAAAGATATTTGTGTCCTAGAAAAATACACAAAGCAGATTTAAATCCAAATATCTACGCTGTCTATCTTTCACTTTCACAGGCCCTTCACTGTGATACTACAGAGACTTGCAAAATCTGCGGTACACCTCTCCAACTATTTTTCAAATTGAGTGAACAATCAGAATACCTTTAATTTTGTTCTGATAGATGGTGATGTCTAATAGACAGTGATGTATTTTATATCAATACTTAACAAAATAAACTCTAAGCTTCAGAGTGTTATTATCAGTCATGACAAGTTGTACCGTAACTTCTTGATGTAGGCCACACTTGCCCCTGGCGAGGACAAACCATAGGTATAGAATCATCACAGGTTTGATTCTTTTTGTCTCTACCTTCCTGTAATTGTACATGACGAACAATTTCCTTAATTTATTTCTGTCCCTGACCTTCCAGGGAGAGTGAAAGTGTATTGTCCCCACAAATACCTCTTATGTTATTCATATTTCTGTAAAAAATACTGTAATTGTACAGTAAATTAAATATATGCTACTATTGCGCTCCTCTTTAATGTTATATATTGTGTTGCTAATGTTTTGTTTTCCACATCTTCTCCAGGTCTGGGATTCAGTATTGCAGGAGGGGTTGGAAACCAACACATCCCTGGGGACAACAGCATTTATGTCACCAAGATTATTGATGGAGGAGCTGCGCAAAAAGATGGAAGGTTGCAGGTTGGAGATAGACTTCTTATGGTAAGTATGTCAAATTTAAATCACCTTTTATTTGGCTGAAAATTGTTTCATGTAAGGGCTTTCACTCACTATATATCTTACTGGAAGTACCATTGCAACTTCTAGAATAATTATGAGTTATATTTCTGTTGTTCTCATTTTTTCCCATTCTTTATGTATGTTTCTGACACTGCAGTTGAAAAACCAACATTTTATGATGACAAGGCAATGACAAACTTTTAACTGAGAAGAGAATAAACATATTATGCACATCAATGACAAGTCAAAATGTACCAGAAAACTTTTAAAGAAGATTTTAGACAAACTGTTCATTATAGCAGTGCTGATTCTAGTGATCATTTTGAGAAAAATGAAAGGTGTGAAAACATGCCACTAAATTCTTGCATGTAGCCACTGTCACTGGACTGTTACCTACATTTCAGTACATGTAGGAATGCTTTATGTTCATGTTCCATATAGATGTTAAAAAACAAAAACAAAAACAAAAAAAACATTTTCCATCCTTTTCCTTGAGGAAGTGTACTTATTCTTCTGATGGATTTAACTTCAGGAAATTCTTCCTGATGTTTGCAGTGCTAGCACATTGTTCCTTGTAGATAATTCTTTCCCACTCACAGCGTTTGTTTAATTCTTTGTTGAGGAGGAAATCCTGACCCTGGTGAATCAGCAGTTAATCTATGTCAAGTTGTATTCATGTCAATGCATTTGCACCGATTTCAGCAGGTAGAAAAATATTTTTTGAATGAGTGCCATGAAAAAAATGTGCTACAGTAGCTCTGTTTTGTGATGCAATATCTAAGCAGTAAAAAATTGCCATGACCTTTTTTTGCTGCCTGCAAAACTGTGCCTAGTTGAGGTTTTCTTTACTTGGCTAAGGACATTGTGTTCCAGTCACATGTGGAGATGACCATTCATTTTATACAGCGTAGTAAACAGAACTGGAAAGGCACTTGGTTGCTAGGTTGGTGACTCTTTGACTTTTTTAATTAACCCAAGTGGATAGATAAAGCAGCTTAAGGATCAAATGATGTTATGAGAATCAAAGCAAAATGAAACTAGAACTTACGACATCTTTGGCATTTCTTCTTTGCAGGTTTTCAGCACGGTAAAATTCAAGTCGTTTTATAATGAAGTTTGGCTCATTTTTCTACAGAAAAGTGTATTTGTATTTAACAAGTTTGCATGTTATTTTGTTATTTTGCATCTTGTAGCAAATCTGCTCGTGCTAATCTCTTGGGTTTTTTTCATTATGAGAATTCCTCACTGTTTTTGTGTCATCTGTAAAATTTTGTTACCTTACTCTTTATTTCTTCCAATCCACTTGAGGTAATAAATAATACACACAAAAAAACCCCAGATGCAAAAACCTCACAATCACCATCTCCAGTGTAATTTAATCAGGATGAATTTGAATAGAAAAATAATTATTTTGTACACCACTATGTATAAATTCATTCTTTCCAGATTTTTATAGGATTTATTTATTAAGGATCTCTTCTCAATCTTGAACCTGTGATTCACTGCAGTCAAATATAGATGTTTCTTCATTGTGACAAGTTTATACTCCTGAATCTGACTTCTGAAAATGAGGAGAGGTCATTCTCAGTGTTTGATGTCTTTAACTGCTTTGCTTTCAGTCTGGCCCAGTTCTTTACTTACTGTCATCTCCTTTTATCACTGCATGTAAAATGAGCAAAAGAAAGTAATCGTAATATTGCTATCCACTAGTTATGTACTTCCAGACCAAGCTTTTCACTGTTGCATAAGAAAATCCTAGTCAAATTAATCTTTGTATACCTTAACCATTACATTTTTGGAGATAAATTTACAAGACCAATATCTATTTCTGAAATTCCTGCAATTACAGCCATGTTTTCTGGTTCTCTCCAGCAAGACACCCTGATATTTTATAACTTGTGTACCTTCAGTATCTTTTTCTACTTTGTGAAGCATCTGTCAGTTCATGACATTAACTTCGTGTTCCTTTGTGAAAAGTGAGTGAAAGAATTCATTACTTTCCTTTGGCAGTGTATCAACACAATATTACCCTTGTCATCTATCCAGTACTACTTCTGCTTCACTGATTTCTTATTGATTATATATTTGAACACTTCCTTTTTTTTTTTCCTTCTCAGTAGTGCATCCTTTCTTGATCTATCTTTTTTTCCATCATTTCTTTATAAAATTTACCAGAATTTGTCATCCTTCTGGAATTCTCAGCAACTACTGGGGGGCTTGTTTCATTTTTGTATCTGTGTTCTGATAAGGTTGTGTGAAATGCGTTCAGATCCCAAAGAACATGTAAATCAAATACATTGAAATGTAAGATGTAATAAAAGAGATGCTGCAAAATCAAAACTGATATTGAAATGTAAAACAATTAGATGCCATCTGAGCATTTTGCAGCTTGATGACCCTACTGTTATTAAATGCAGATTGTTAATAGTGTGTTAAGCATTCAGAAGATGTATTATATAAATACTCAGCAACGTGATTATTGTGAAATCTATACAAGGGCATGTTATGCAGTTATGTTTCTGTGGCACTGAGCGTGCACTTAAGGCTTATTATCCTGAGCACTTGCACAAGAAAATGCTCCATTGTAGGATAATCCTGTGGTGCCCATTAGGAAAATTACTGGAGGAAGCATAAGAGTGCTTAAACCGAAAACTGAACTCAGTGGTTTTTCTCGGTATGTGTGAAAGGAACAGACCAGAGCTTTGCTCTGGAGACTTACAACTAGGAGAAAAATACCCCCTTAGTGTATTCTGGTGGTAATGCCTGTGGTGAGAATACAACTGCACTGCATGCCTCAGCTAGGTTGTTTCTCTTTGCGCTGAAAGGGAGCAAAGGGAAATCACATACAGAGCATCATAGGCTAATGCAATAATTCAGGGTCAACTATAGGGCCAGACCAGGTTTCTCAGGAAGTTATCCAATTGAATCTCGAAAATCTCCAAGGATGGAGCTTGCACAGCCTTTCTGGGAAACCTATTCTACTGCTCGACTGTCTCATGAGGAAACTGCTTTTCTTTATAACCTGTTTTATGCCTGCTGCCTCTCATCCTGCTACCACACGGCACTCTGAAAAGCTTAGTTCTGTCTTGATGACCTTCCTGTAAGCCCCAGGGGTCTGCTGTTCGTTGTCCCCAGAGCTGCCCCTTGTCCAGGCTGAAAAAGCCCAACCCGCCCAACTTCTCCTCACCAGGCCAGTGCTCCAACCCCAACCATCCTGGTAGCACTCCCCTCAACTTGCTCCATCTTGTTATCTTTCCTATAGTGTGGGGGCCAAAAATGAACACAGTATCTAGCTACAGTCTAATGAGTGGCAACTGTTGGGGAATAATCCTTCTCTGGATCTCCTAGCTCTGCTCCTGCCCATACAGCCCAGGCTACTGTTGACCTCTTTGCTGCCAGGACACACAACTGGCTCATACCCAACTTGTTGGCCATCAGGAGCCCCAAGCACTTTTCCACAGAGCTGCTGCCAGGCTGTCAGTGCCCAGCCTGAGCTACTGAAATGGGTTAGCCTGTGCCAGGAGCAGGACTTAATGTTTCTCCCTGTTGGACATCATAAAGTTCTTGTCAACCCCTATCTATCGAGAATGGCAGTCCTGCCCTTGAGTTTACGGAGTCGCCCTCACAGTGAAGTGTCATCTGCAAATGTGATGAGAGCACATTCCTCACCTCTTCCAGGTCATTGGTAATGATGAGCAGGAAGAGCTGAAAAATGATTTAAATTATTACCTCTCAGATAATAGTTACTTTCTTTTATCTGATACCATCATCTCACTTTGGAAGAGTTTATCTACAGAATGGATAAATGAGAAATCAGTATAAAACTCTGTGTTTTCACTAGTACAAAACAACAGTAATAGCTAGAAGCAAGGTATTCTTCAGGGAAAACTCTGAACACATTAGGCTTTAAAAGAAAATTTAAGCTAATATTTATCTCTTGTAAGTATTAGCTTTTCAAAAATTTGTCTCCTATACCAGAATACCCTTGCATGTTTGGGCCATACCCGGAGAGATCAGACTTTTGTGGGATTATTTATGGTTACAGGAAAAGTGATGTTAGTCATACACCAAGAGAATTGATTTGATTCTGTTTTCTTGCTTAAAACAGAAGGAACAGGAGTTACTTTCCTTTTCGGAAACTTAGGCTTACTTTCTACCCAGTTCTGTGCTGATAAAAGCATGTTATTGTTTGGTGGTTTCATAGGGCTGCAATGGGGTTGTGATTGTACAATCATTGATATGTTCCTTACGGGATCCCTTACCAGTATCTGTTTCTTTCGGATTGTGTATGGATGAAGGATCATGTTTGTGTTAAAGTAATCAGAGCATATAATTTAAGATGCATCTAGATTAGCATTTGGTTCTGATCAGAAGTGCTCTTTTAAAGTGATTTTGGATGTCTTGTGGGGTGGTCTTTTAGAAGACAAATTGGATTTTTTTAAATGAAACTGCAACAGAAAATGTGGTCCAGAATCATTCCTAATTAGCATTGCATTGCAGCTGCAAACAGGCATTTTAGTCAGCACACTGGATGTAATGCAAACTAACACCCTTAAAAGATGTATAGCATGGATGTCATATCATTCGGACCCTCTGTTGCTGTGGATTACTCCTAGTGCACGCATTCTTCACCCAGGTAGGTGCACCCACAGATCCAGACTTAGGCTGTTATGCCAGTTGATGGAGAAGAGGCGTTACTCAGTTAGACTTAACGGAAGAAAACAGTGTGAAGAGATAGTGTCTGATCTGTAGGTTGTTCTGGCTGACTAGCACAAAGGAAGCACACTAGAAAAAATAGACTCTGAGATGGAGAGTGAACAGGTACTGAACCAGCTCAGGGGGTTCGGTGGCTGCATCCCTTCTGATGCAGCGCTGAGCTCTGAGCCAGATTTACACTGTCATTGACTCTGGCCTTGCAGTGCTTTATCTAGCATTCAAATGTAGATTTGCTAGGATAGGTCTTTGGATGGTACCCTAGCAAT